TCTATTTTCTTTTAATATTCTAGATTCTTTGCTTTTTATATTAATTTTATTGTCAGATTGCTAACTTTTACCAAAAAATTTGATAAAATTTTTTACTGGAATCCATTGAATATATAGAAAAAATTGAGATAGTTGACATCTTAATAATGCTAAGATAATATTAGCATGAAGGAAATATAAAATGTTCCTCTTTTCTTGTTCCCCTGTTCAACAACTAAAAATCAATATCAATCATAAACAAGAAAATCTCTTTGGGAGTTGTAGAATCCAGCACCTCATTACAAGAGACCCAAGAAAGGTCTAACCCACCTCTGTATGGGCTGTGGAACAAGCAGAAGCCTTTAAAACTGTTGCTGTTGTTCAATCACTAACATAGCTATTCACAGCTGCAATTGAGAAAAACCTGCAGGATGCTGATGTGGATTGGCACCTATTGATGAGAAAAACTTTATAGAAGTCTTGCCATCTGGAAGGGATTCTAGCACATCACTGGAGAAAAAAATTACAAGTTTTAAAGCACCAGGGAAGATCCTGGCATACCAGTGCTGTGCCAGTACTGTACTGTTCACATACAATTTTCTAAAGATGGTAGTGAAGTGAAAGTTGCTCAGTTGTGTCTGACTCTTTGCCACCCCATGGACTATACAGTCCATGAAATTCTCCAGGCCAAAATACTGGAGTGGGTAGCCTTTCCCTTCTCCATGGGATCTTCCAAACCCAGGGATTGAACCCACGTCTCCTGCATTGCAGGTGGATTTGTTACCAGCTGAGCACAAGGGAAGCCCTTAAGATGGTAGAACTCATATTAAATGTTCAAAACACAATAAAATAACATTTCAATACATAAATAAATAAAATTTCATTCTGTTTACATGTGCACTATTTGGCATTAGTTATTTCTTAATTTAGGCAAAACAACCAAGAAAAAGCTTGTGATAAAAATTGTTTTGCTCTCAAATTTTGAAAATTATTCCAGTGGGACATACTGATTTGTTTTAATAAATGTGATTCTTTATGAGTTAAAGTGTTCCTACCCAAGTGTGGGAGAAGACTTGATAATTGCTAGGATTAAGAAAACCCAAAGAACAAGGAAGCAGGAGGAAGAATTTCAGCAGGTGATAAATCAAAAAGAATGCATTTCTAAATATGTTTTGGAACTATATCCTTTTGCGCGTTTACTGCTTATGTAATTTTTGACTTGCTGTTTATCAAATATTGGAGTTCACTGGAAATGCAGTGACTGCACATTTTTAGGAAAGGTCACCCAAACATGCACATGTAAACCTATCTATATCTATATAGAGAGAGATACATAGTGAGAGAGAGAAGGGCAAAGAGAGTTAGGTTTTTCATTTACCTTCAAGAAATGAGAAGGCATTCAGTTTGGTGACAGTGAATATGACTCTCTGGTGTTATAAAGTTTATTTAATATACTTCAAAAGTAATGCTGGGCAAGACTGAGGGAAGGAGGAGAAGGGGACAACAGAGGATGAGATGGTTAGATGGCATCACTGACTCAATGGACATGGGTTTGTGTAGACTCCAGCAGTTGGTGATGGACAGGGAGGCCTGGCGTGCTGCAGTTCATGGGGTCGCAAAGAGTCAGACACGACTGACAGAATGAACTGAGCTGAACTGAATGTATCTATATGTGAAATTTATTTCTACCTTAAATAAAATATAATTTTCCATTGAAGTTTTAAGCCTTAATTATATGTATGTAATTTTTTTTCTAGGAGATTTCTTCTTTTTTTCCTTCTTTGGGACTGGATTTCATGATTTGAAAAAAAGACAGAATGAGCAATGCTCCGAATGTGTAACAGGAACACACCATATGTCCACTGGGATCTATCTCCTCACTATAAAGTTTCTAACCTGAAAAAAAACCTGACTAATTTTCAGATCAACCATGGGTAGAATGGGTACTCTATTCACAATCTCTATGAGAAGTGGTAGGCGTTTGGAAAAATATTCAGTTTTTATTAACAATGTTTGTGGGGTCTTCTGGAAAAATTCATTTATTTTAGCAATTCAAATGATATTCAAGGAATGTCTATAGTGTTTATAGCTATCAAAAACGACTAGCTTAGGTTCCTCACAGTCACCAGTCTTGGTATCCTATGGATGTCATTCTCTTTGGTTCTCTTTCTCATCTCTAATTGTTTCCTTCCCTCAGCCTTCTCTCCTAAGCTACCTCTACCATTAAAACCTGAAAGCTTTGAGTTGAGCTCTGTATAGCCTTGGTCAAAAGAACATACAAAATTCATTTCTTTAGAAAAAATAACCCTAATAAACCCTGAATAGATTCATATAGTGAATGAGATAGAATATTTATTTTAATTTTTGATAAAAGATAAAGGGACAATAGGTAGCTTTTAAGAATAGTAGGGTCATTCATTTTTTATTTTATTTTAACTATTAGTACATACATGATTTCTAATAAGTGAAAGCCACTGAGTTGTGTCTGATTCTTTGCGACCCCATGGACTACAGTCCATGGAACTCTTCAGGCCAGAATACTGGAATGGGTAGCCTTTCCCTTCTCCAGGAGATCTTCCCAACCCAGGGTTTGAACCCAGGTCTCCCCCACTACAGGCAGATCCTTTACCAACTGAGCCACAAGGGAATCCCACTTATTAGAAATCACTTATGGAGGTAACAAAAAGTTAGATTTGAAAAGTACTACTAATAGTATGATTAATGATCATTTATTGAGCAGCAAATGCTTATGGAGCCAAGGTTTGAGCAGGATGCTCTATAGCTACCTTGTTACCTGGCCATCCTTTTGTTTGACTAAGTCTAAAGCCTTAGTTTACCTGTGGGATTTTACAAGCAAGCCCTGAGTTGACCTGAAGTGAAAGGGACTGAGAAATGCGTGGACAGTACAGGGAAGAGAGCAAGTAGAAAGAGCTGGTACTACTGAACTATCACTAGGTTGCCAAGTTCCCTGAAGGCAGAGAACATGCCATTCCTTCATGTATTCCTTGGGCTACCTTTTTTTTTTTTTTTTGTCAAATGATCGTGTCAAGATTAGAGCAGAAGACTGCAGCTGTGGAAACCTACCGCCATATTTGGATATGATGTATTTGAACAGAGCATAGGGGAAAATATTAAGTCTGAAACTAAAAAAATTACATGGTTGCAAATGGAACACAATGGAGCATTTGCAAGGTAGGAGTGGCAGCAGGGTTATGCTAGTGCAGGCATCCCTTGGGAAAAGTATTCATTAGGAAAGGGGAAGGGTTGATGGTGATCTTTGCAATAGGAATGGAGAGGAATCAGGACACCTGAAGTTAAAAATAGGGCAGTGGTTATTGATTGTCATATTTATCACGTGAGGTACAGTGGGTGAACAGAAGAGTTACTAAGTGGGTCATCTTTCAATCCAGATATTTTATTAATTTTTTTTTCATTTATTTTTATTAGTTGGAGGCTAATTGCTTTACAATATTGTAGTGGTTTTTACCATACATTGACATGAATCAGCCATGGAGTTACATGTGTTCCCCATCCCAATCCCAGCTCCCACCTCCCTCCCTATCCCATCCTTCTGGGTCTTCCCAGTGCACCAGCCCTGAGCACTTGTCTCATGCATCCAACGTGGGCTGGTGATCTGTTTCACCCTTGATAGTATACTTGTTTCAATGCTATTCTCTCAGAACATCCCACCCTCGCCTTCTCCCACAGAGTCCCAAAGTCTGTTCTGTACATCTGTGTCTCTTTTTCTGTTTTGCATATAGGGTTATCGTTATCCTCTTTTTAAATTCCATATATATGCATTAGTATACTGTATTGGTCTTTATCTTTATGGCTTACTTCACTCTGTATAATGGGCTCCAGTTTCATCCATCTCATTAGAACTGATTCAAATGAATTCTTTTTAATGGCTGAGTAAAATTCCATTGTGTATATGTACCGTAGCTTCCTTATCCATTCATCTGCTGATGGGCATCTAGGCTGCTTCCATGTCCTGGCAATTATAAACAGTGCTCCGATGAACATTGGGGTGCATGTGTCTCTTTCAGGAGAACAGTGTGGAGATTCCTTAAAAAACTGGAAATAGAACTGCCATATGACCCAGCAATCCCACTCCTGGCCATACACACCGAGGAATCCAGATATTTTAAAACGATAATATAAAAATTTATCTGTATTGCCAATGTTTGAGTAACATTTGGTCTGCCATTTTGAGGGGATTAAAGCAAGTTTTCACATACAAAACAGACAGAGTTCCGGTTTATTCACAGTTTCAAGAAAGACAACCATTCTGAGTGCTAGCTTTCTCTCTCTTTTCTGACAGATGGTGTATCATTTCCTTAGGGCAGCTGGAACAAAGTACCACAAGTGGGTTGCTTAAAATAACAGAAAATTATTATCTTACATGTGTGGAATCTATAAATCTAAAATCAAGGAGTTTGAAGGGCTATGCTCCCTCTGGAACATATAAAGAAATATTTCAATGTCTCTTCCTAGACTTTGGTAGTTTGCCAGTAATCTCTTTTGCCCCTTGGCTTCCATTCTCTCTGCCTTCACATGGCTATCTTCTTAGAAGAAGACCATTCATATGGGATTAGGGGTTCACCCTACTCTTGGATGGCCTCATCTTAACTTAAATTTCATCTGTAATAACTCTACTTCCAAATGCAGTGACATTCAGAAGTATTGGGGACTTCAATTTATCTATTTTTGGGGTGTCAGTGGGAGGCCAACCCAAACCAGAACAGATGATAAATAACAAATATCTATAAGGGTAGATTGATAAAATGTCCTTCAGAAAAATAGAATCATGTACAAAACTGAATAAATTACTAGAGTAGCAGAAGTACTGTAAAAATCTTCTAATTGACAAAATGATGAGAAACAGGAGAATGATATAACAGATTAGGTAATAAGTGAAAAATATGTGAAGAAAAGAGCAAGGCAGCTCAATATCATGACTTCATGTTATATTCTAATATTTACCACATGATGCAATAAGTTTTTCCCCTAATAGGTTGAAAATGTGGTGGCTACTTGTAACAATGTGTTTCATCCACATATCTGGAAATGCATTTTGCTTCTTTGGGAAAATTGCTAAGAACCCTGAAGCCAGTATGAATGTTGTAAGTTATTCATATCACTAATATTTTAAAAACAACACTTCCAAAGATATTGATGCTATTTGCTCTCATTAATTCTTTTAAAATACATTTTATTATAAAGCTTGAAATATTTCTTTACATAATATATGTTAACAATCAATAAGAAGTTTTATGATAGGAATCATAAAAGTGGCCCAGTAAACTCATGAAGCTAATTTTTTTTTCCTCCATTCAGAGTCAGATGGTTTCCTACTGGGGCTACCCAAGTGAGATGCATAAAGTTATAACTTCAGATGGCTATATCCTTCAGGTCTATCAGATTCCTCATGGAAAGAATGATGCTAATCGTTTAGGTAGGACTGGTTGTTGTTCAGTCACTAAGTTGTGCTCCACTCTTTTGCAATCCCATGGACTGTAGCCTGCCCGGGTCCTCTGTCCATGGAGTATCCTGGCAAGAATACTGAAGTGGGTTGCCACTTCCTTCTCCAGGGGATCTTCCCCACCCAGGAACCGAACCCACACCTCCTGTGTTGGCAGGAAGATTCTTTACCACTGACTCACGAGGGAAGCTTGGTGGGGGGGGGGGGGACTGGAATGAGGGAAAAAGATGAGTGTCTCGAATCTTGAATCAAATACATTCCAGTCAACTGTATTCTAATTATAGAACATGAGATTAAGCTACTCACAGGAAAAAAAAAAATTCTCAAACCACCTTGGATTTCGGAGATTAGGCTGAGGGTCTGAGTGACACCAGATTTACATTGGCTTCAATGATGTGCACACTGGCCCATGATTTTAGTTTGTTGTGCTGGGTGGGAACTCAGAGTCCCTGAATAGCAGACCCACTTAATTAACATTATGCTGAATTTCCTTATGACATAATTTTTTCCATAGCTTTTTGAGTTTAATTGGCATACAACCCACTGCACACAATTTAAAGTATAGAATTGCACACATTTTGTCATCTGAGAAACTATCACAACAATTAAGATAATTTCAGAAATATTCACCTCACCAAGCAAGCTTGTTTAATTCTGGTCTTCCTAAATTCATGTTCAGCTGAGAATAAGGAGTGAATTTATAAAGGTTTGAATAATTTTCTTCATTAGGTCAGAGACCTGTTGTGTTTCTGCAACATGGTTTTCTTGGATCTGCCACAAACTGGATTTCCAACCTGCCCAAAAACAGCCTGGGCTTCCTGCTGGCAGATGCTGGTTATGATGTGTGGCTGGGGAACAGCAGAGGAAACACCTGGGCCCAGGAACATTTATACTATTCACCAGACTCCTCTGGATTCTGGGCTTTTAGGTAAAGAAAGGGAGAATTAAAAATAAATATTCAGTTAAAAATCATCAGTATTCACTGCTTCCTATCCAGTTGTATCTTAACAAATCACACTTCAAGTAGGAGAAGGAAGTCCTTTGATTCTAATCTATCTTTAGATTTTTCATACACCTCATTCCAAGGGTAGTTTTCCTCCTAACTGTGATCCCAGTGCCCACTATTATGAGATTCCCTGAATCTGCTTTTCCACAAGGATTGAGCAAAATGAGTAAGCAAAGAAATTTATTGCCCTTGGCAATTTCTAAGGGAACATCCATATGGATTTAAACCCAGCTAGAATTCATGGACAACATCTCTTACCAGCAATAATGAAGTGGAGGGGGAGAAAATGAAATTGAGACACCATAGAGAGATTATTAAAGATTTTCTTTTACTGGCCTTGTGCCTTATTGCCAGGAATTACTAGTGGAAGTGGAGAACAGAAGAGAAGTTGGTTGATAGAGCTGAGGCACAAAAGTGCTCTAAAAATTCTAGGAACCAAAAAGAAGCTGGTCTGTTCCAAGTGTAGTGAAGAAGAGGAAGACCAAGAGGAGAGGAGACTAGAGCTGCTGACAAGCCCGGATGAGGATGGGCTGTGTAGGTCACGGTGAGGGCCTTGGAGCTCATTCTGAGTGTAATGAGAAGATTCTGGAAGGTTTTAACAGGGGTGGACATAGCCTGTTCTCACTTTCAAAAAATTATTCTGGATAACTTATAAAGAATAAAATAGAAAAATTATTCATATTACATGGTAGTAGAACACTAAATACAAGTCATTATTAAATCTGACAGTCAGGTTCAGGGATGGAAGCAGTCCCCAACTACAAATACTATGGTGTTTCAAATTGGATCAAATTGCAGATATCATACTATGCTTTAGAAATAATGTCAGCCCTTTACATGAAGTCACCCCTAAAGAGCCCCTGACACTCAAATAGTCTGTAAGCAGCAATATTTAGAGCATCCAGTTTTCTATTTTTCAAAGGAAGCTTTAGCTTAAATAGGTTTGACTTATGGAAATTATAACAAAGATGTGTATTTAGTTAATTTTGTCTTTTTCTTCACAGCTTTGATGAAATGGCTGAAAATGACCCTTCATCCACAATTGATTTCATCTTAAAGAGAACAGGACAGGAGAAGCTACACTATGTTGGCCATTCCCAAGGCACCGCCATTGGTAGGTAAAAGCAATTAGCAAGTAGTATAGTTCATATAGATCCTTTTCCAGTGGTCATGTAGGCATGTTGGTCTTCATGCTTGCTAATTGCTTTCCATTCATTATATAATGCAATGTCTGCAACAGTCCACTGATATAAGGACATTATTATTCCTATTGCATGCATAGGGAAGCTAAATAGGGGGAGAAGAAATAGTTCGTGTAAGTGATAACTTAGTTATTATAAGTAGGGTAGCTCAGATCCCAGGTCAAGCAATCTGACATACAAACCAATGCTCTGAAACTTTGTACCACATGGTCTCTGGATTCAGTTTATTTCATTCAGTCAACCCTATTTATAGGTCTCATATAACATATCCTAAGGATACAACAACAAAAAAATAGTTTAAAATCTGTTTTTCTACTACTAATACTCTAGCAGGAAGAGGCGGAGAAAAAGATAAGTAAAATACATACGATGCTAGATAATGGTAGCATTTTTCTATGAAGAGAAAAATAAATCAGGGAGTCAGATTGGGGAGCATCAGAGGGGTGCTTATGACTGACTCTTATGCTTTTATACAGAACATGTTGGACATAGCTTAACCTTTTCTCAATGATACAGGGTTATAAAATTATTGCATTTAGCTGAAATGCAGAAATTTCCTTAAGATTTGTTGAGGTAAATAGAACCACATGTCCTGATAGAAAGTAACTCCAAGCTACTGCTCTTTTGAGTATTTAAATTTTGAACATTTCCACTCTTCTTATTCACCAGTGGAGAGTTTGTCATTGAGTCACCACACTCATAAATTTCAGGAAGGTGTTTCTTCTGCCTTCTAATTTACATCTACGTCAATCTGCTGTGTACATGAAGTTTAGTTAAGTATCCTTGATAGAATTGCATCTAAAATGGGATTAAGCTTGTTTTGAGGAGTTGCCTTTCCTGACCCTCGATGGACCCACTGACCCCCACTCTGTCAGTAGTGCTGCTACTAATACTCTAGCGGGAGGAGACTGACTCTCCTTGCGAATGATTCCTGCTTACTCTGGGTGACCTGCTGGCTCTTATCTTCAGAGTTAGGAAGCCAGATAAAGAACTCCTTAACAAACAGAGTGCTATTGGAAAGAATGTTCTTCTCTTCTCCCAGTGCGATCAGGCTGGATATTACTGAGTTGCATAACCCAAAAAGTTTTTTGTTTTGGGGTTTTTTTTTTTTTTTTTTGCTTTATTTAAGTTTTGCACAAATCTGAAGTTTTGTTTCAAAAGCTGCTCTTAAGTCTAATCTATATGTCATTATTAACAGTAAGGAGAGATTGTCCTATGAAATTCAACTGTTAAGAATTTAGTTAATAATTCTTTGATTAGAACTGTCTATTGATATGCTACTGTTCATGAAAACAATTAAAAGCAGATAGGGGCTGAGAATATTGTATACAAATATTGGAATTATCTCAGCTACTCATTTTTTAAGCATTACTATGTGACTAGTTCCTGGTAAATATTTTATATGATTCAACTTAATTATTTCCTAAACAACCTAAGGAAGTATTCATCATTATACCTATTTTCAGATGAGGAAACTAAAACTTTTAGAGTTTAGGTCTCTTTTCCAAGGTCACAAAGCTAATAAACCACAGAACTAAGTTTCAAACTCTGTTTCAACACATTTCAGATTTGTGCTTTAACCTTTCCACTTATACACCTTATTCATGTTAAATGTTAATTATCTCATTGTTATAAGATGAGATCATTTTAAGCTGAACCAAACCTGCTGTAATATAAATTATAACACTTTTATTACCACAGGATTATTCTAAAGTTGGCCTGGTTTCAAAAGTCAGATAAAAGAGTTAAACGTAACTTTGGAAAAGTTCTAACCTCATGTCCAGGGCTTCCCAGGTGGCTCAGTGGTAAAAAATCTTCCTGCCAAATGGGAGATGTGAGTCAGATCCCTGGGTTGGGAAAATCCCATGAAGAAGGAAATAGCAGCCCACTGCAGTATTCTTGCTAGGGACATCCCTTGGACAGAGGAGCTGGGCGGGCCCAGCACATGGGGTCGCAAGAGTCAGACTCGACTTAGCAACTAAACAACAACAGCAAACCTCATGTCCCCAGCGAGAATCTATGAAAACAAAATATACTAAAATCTGACCATTTTGTTGATTTCAGGCTGTCCCAGATGGCACCCTTAGTAAGTCCAAAGTAATGATGTCATACTTGTAAAACACACACACACATCCCTACCTTTACACATATTCCTTGTTCTGTTTCAGGTTTTATCGCCTTTTCTACCAATCCCACACTGGCTGAAAAAATCAAAGTCTTCTATGCATTAGCCCCAGTTGCCACAGTGAAGTACACCCAAAGCCTGTTTAACAAACTTGCACTTATTCCTCACTTCCTCTTCAAGGTATGTGATTCCCTTTAACTGGATCTAAGATATTGAATTGTTTGTGGATTTCAAAGTGATAGAAAGAGAACAAACAGCTGGTGGACAATCATGTTTATATCCAAGAATGGAAATGAATGTGTTTATAT